TTTTTTTTTGTTTAGAGTTAAGTTTTTGCCTCTCCCTGACATCCAAATTGAAAAAGGAAAGGAAAAGATAGTAATATCTACAAAAAAAACAAAAACAAAAAACCACACCAAACCTGTTGCCATCAACGTCGATTTCCAACTCATAGCAACCCTATAGGACAGAGCAGAACTGCCCCATAGGGTTTTTAAGGAGCAGCTGGTGGATTTGAACTGCTGACCTTTTGGTTAGCAGCCAAACTCTTAATATCCAACCTGTTTAATGTACTAGAAAGGCAGATGTCAGTACCATGATGATTTTCCAGAAACCATGGATACATTTTTGTTTTACTGTTGCCCACTTCATTGAAATTCCCCATTCCTTACCAAAAAAACTTCCAGGCAATACCTACAACAATCTCTTACTCAGTCTATACTGCCAGCTCTGTACAGGGAAAAGAGACACCGGGATTATGATCCTAAAATACTGAAACAGGACAGCAAATATTTATTGAGTGCCTACTTTTTGTAAGACATTGTCAATACAAAAAATTGTCTTCTTTACACTCCATTTGGGAAAGTAGAGAAATAGACCGGTAATCTTCAGAAAGATTTTTACAAGTATTGAAATGTAAAGATTTTGCTATAACCAACATTTTATCTAAAAATGAACTAGTCCAAGTCACTCAACTGGCCACCACACTTATACAAGTAAAGGTGCATTTATGAGTCAGAATGACTCACAGCAACTGGAATAGTCTGCAATGCTTTTTATGGTTTTCATAGTATTATGTGTATTATTTCATCTGACTGTCAGAATTTTATTTAACATTCATCATTTATGGAACACCTGGTATATGACAAACACCTGGGTAATCAAGTAATAGTCATGTCCTTAGGAGCCCAAGCCTAGCAGGAGATCAGGACAAAAAAGCAGACAATTAAAACGCAGAACGAGGTTGCCATAAAGAAACAAAAAACGTCTACTTAACCTAGCCAAGGAAGTGTGTGAAGGTTTCCTGGAGGAAATGATATTTAGGCGAGGATCCCAGCAGAACTGGAGGCGTAGGGGGCTAGGTCGGGAGAGATGAACTGGGGGAGGTGGGTCTGGCGAAAAGGGGCAGGGACTATTCCAAAACCAAACCGACGACTGTAGACTCCCAACTCGACTCATAGCGACCCTAAAGGACGGAGCAGAACTGCCCCATAGGGTTTCCAAGGCTGTAATCTTTATGGAAGACTGCCACATCTTTCTCTCGCAGAGCTGCTGGTGGGTTCCAACCCACGACCTTTAGCTTAGCAGCCCAGTGCTTAACCACTGCATCACCAACGTTAGTCGAAGAACTGTGCAAAGGCTCAGAGGCAAGAGAAAACAAGCTGCAGACAATCAGGGCTAGACTATGTGTCTTTCCTCCAAAGTCCCTGGGTGGTGAGAACAAATGGTTAGAGGTTCAAGGTGCCTCGGGAGAAAGGCCTGGCAATCTACTTCTGAAAAATCAGCCATTGAAAATCCTACGGAGCTGACATATGGGGTTGTGATGGGTAGGAATCGACTCTATGGGCAGCTGGTTTACTGGTACTCTCTCCGATTCTTTACAGTAGGAACTGGGGCATAACTGCGCCCTGCATGGACTTGGAGCTGTTCCTTTTGCTTTTCGAATCCCCTTTAGGTGCATCATCTCAGGAGAGTCCCCAAAGTCAGGGCCCATACCATTCCGGATTTCCTCCTACCTTGGGCACTTCCCCAGCTTCCACCGGCACCACACCTCTATCCGCCAGCTGAGCACCACCTCCACGCCCGAGCGCCGCCATTTTGGCGGCTCACGTGATCCTTGGGTGGACCGGGGCCCAGAACACCCCGGGCGGGAAGTGGTGCAGGCTCACGCCTCTTGCGCTCAGCCCAAGCACCCACCCTACCCAGTCAAAAGCCGCGCCCTCCATCCTGGCTGTGATTGGCCACGGCGTCTAGAAATTACGGCCACTCATTGGCTTCGAGGAAGACCCGACGATAGTGAGCCCGCCCCTCTGCTAGCCCCGCGTCCCCTCCCCGGCAGTTTGTCCGCGTCGCGCTCTCTTCTCTTATCCTGAGGGGAAAAATGGGCCTCTCCGAGCCTATGCGTGTTGCTGCGCGCCGTCCACACATCACGGCAGCTCCGTTAGCTAGGCTTGAGCTCTTTGCCCCTTTCTCTGAGGAAATTGGCCCCCTCTGGCCTGGCCCGTGTATTACGGCTCCGGCTTCTCGGGCACCTCCTCTTTAGAACCTTCACCGGCCACCCGGGGCCGCCAGAGTACCCCTCACTAGCCTCCTCCCCTCGCGGCCGTCTGACTCCTCTCCCCATTCTTTAGTCCCCTCACATTCCGTCCTCTCGCCCCTCTTGGGAAGGGACCGGAAAGAAATTTGGCCCCCGCTCCCCTACGCCAGAAGACCCCCTTGTCAGCTAGTGTTTCGGGTTGGGGAGCGCTGTGAAGAGGCCCGGCGCTGTTTGGGGCACGTTAAATTCCCAGCAATATCTCCCAGACCAGCAACCCCCGACCCTCCAGACTCCATGTCTTAGAGAAGCCAAATTCGAGAGTTATATAATTTTTAGTGCTGCTCTTCCTCCTGCCTGAGGAAACACTTCATCGCGTGGAGGGTGCAGGACATTTCAGTGCTCTTCTATATAAGAACGGGGTGTGTGGGCAGGGGTGGCAGCGGTGGCAGAGAGATTTCTTGTCTTTTTTTTTTTGCAAAAGGAAGGTGGGTAGTTTGGAAAGAGATTGAGAGAAAGAGTGGATGTGGAAGCCAAGCCGCTGAACTCTCATTTAGGAAATCGTGGACCGTTTGCATAGCTTATGCTTACATGCCTAATACTACTACAGCGTCTCTAAAAACACCTTTCGGGGAAGGTTTGGTTTCTTCTCATGAACAGTCTGTGTTTTTCCTCGCTGGATAGGTAGCTGTTTGGATGCGAAGAGATGGCATGATGTGAATGACTCCAGTGTGAAGAAATCTGCTTCGCCAACTCATCCTGCATCAAGTGCCCATTGAGTAGCACTGTCACTTTAATGTCTCTGTGCCAAGGGATTGCTTTCCTTCTTTTCAGTCCTCTCGGTTAATACACGGGAGGATCAGAATCAGAGGGACATTAAAGAACAAGCCTGGGGGGCTTGCAGAGCACAGAAGAAAAAAATCAAAGTGACAGCAAGCTGGATCCTATCTGACTGAGGGGGTGAGATCCGGAACTTCTGGTCCAGTAAACAGAAAGGGGTCTTCCAGTCTGTGTTCTGCCCCAGGGAGCTGTTGAAACTCACCTACCTTTTTAGACACCAGTTTTTCTTTTTGGGGAGGGGAACGAGTGGGGTTAAATTTCTTTATAAAGAATTGAGGATCTTTATCGTCAACTAGTTCATCTTTCAACTTGGTCATGTATAGAGTGAAACATCCGTCTAAATTTGGTTTGTGCCTTAATTGAACTTAGTCATTGAACTTCCAATATGTTGCTGCTTGAACCGGAGTTTTAATAATATTTTCTATGCCTACAATACTTTTCTCAGTTTTTTAAATCAGAATAAATATTTTATAAAAATTGAAAAACTTGAAAAACTCAAAATTTATTTTTCTTTAAACTCTGGGGCAGCGTCAAAAGTTTAATTGTGGAAAAAATACATCATTATTTTCTTTATGTGAAATAGAAGACTCAGCTTGGATTTCAAAACTGAACAGTGAAGTGGTTTGCAACAGTTACCTGGCTCTTGGCATGAATCCAGCTGAATTGAGCTGAGACCTGAAAAGATATCTTGAATCCTGTGGCGGTGGAAAGACCCAAGAATGCCAGTCAAGAAGAAAGGTGGGCTATGAGGCTTCCTGTATAATATTTATTTCTCCCTTTTTTTGGTTCTGGTATTAATAATTTAAATTTTATTCCATTTGAGGGTAAAATTTTGGTTTGGGAAAATATCTATGTTAATGTTTATTCAGTGGTACATCATTCAGTAATATTTTGCTAAAGTAAAAGTAAGGACTGTGGTATTCAATTTGGAGCCAATTCGATGGCAACTAACAACAGCAAAGTAATTACAGACATTTGTGATTTTGTAAATCAGGTTATCTAAATCACCACTTATAATAAGAATATATTCAGTGCCACAGATTTGGGATTTTCTTTAGCTTGTTTTCTTAGATTGTTAAAGGTTACTTTTAATCAATTAAAAAAAAAACTGTACAGTGGAGCTTTTCCCCATGGATTTAATATTCATCATGCTAATTACATAATTGTAAGAGATAGCACAGTAATTTTGTTTGCCTTGAACAAACTTAGAGATTTACAGTTTATCTTTTGATTTAAAAAATGAAAATAAATTTCATATTTATCTGTAATGTAAATCTTCACTTTTTGTAATAAAGCACAACTTTGGGAACTGTTGTGTTTTTCTAGATACATATATTATCCAATAGCATAATTGGCCAAGTTCCCCAAATGAGCCAAACACCTAGCTTCTCCCTCTCCCTGCCCCAACAACAATCAATATCCAGTGGATTCCTGAAGTATGGTCTATTTATTATAGGTCAGACCTTGGGGATTCATGTTATTCTAGATCTACCCCAGGTTAACTTTGTACCTAAGTTTCTTAGTGAAACCAGTTTTTTTTTTTTTAACATGATATGGAAGATCAGATCAACTATAATCATTTTCTCAAGAGTTTTGAATCAAAATTTATTTGAACACGCTAGAACTTTACTGGGCTAGCATAGATCCAAATATTGGCCAGTTATGGGAGTTGCTGCAATCTGAAACTAAAGTTCTGGGTGAACTGTAAATTTCCTGCATCCTGAGGCATGTTCTACCATTGTCAGTGACCAAAGGTAGTGAAACCTGGGCCCTGAAAGGTGTTTAATCTTTCTACCCACGGGTTTGGAAGACACGTTGTGGAAAATTGTAATCGGTGGGATGTTTCATCCAATCTAGTGTCTGTAGAGTTGGAAAATGATACATAAAACCTTGGCAATACCTAGAACTGTCCCTTTGCACACTGGGGTTTAAGACTGGGATTGTCCCAGCTACCCTCAAACTCACCCTCACCTCCCTTACCCTGATACTATCACTGAGAGAAGTAGCCTCTATATGAGATCTTGGAGCCACACCTGTGCACATTTGAGACCGTTGGTTTATCTGGAAAAAGAGTGGTTTTGGGAGGAAAGCTAATAAACAATATGGCTCTTTGAGTCATTTAGTTTGATCTGTCTTTCAATTCTTCCCACCATTTATAGACACAAATCACTCTAGACAGTGTCCCTTTTGGACTGCCTTATTTTGAGCTAATAATTGAATCAAATACATTGTGTGAGAGACAGAGAGAGAGAAAGAGAGAGAAGAAGGAGAGGGAGAGAGAGCAAGAAGAGTGAGAGGAGAGCGGGAGAGAAAGGGATAAAAGGGTAGGTGGGAAGGATGAGGAGGAAGGGCAATTGATGTTCTAGGTATAAATTGCTAAGGGTGAACTTAAGGTTTCTAAACCCAACAGACTGCACTTCTTAAAAGTTTCTATCTTTAAAGGAACTGTTACAAAAATTGCCAAGTTATTGATAATTATAATACTTTATGAGAAATAGTTTAATGTTCATTCCCTCCCTCCCTTCCTTCTTTCTTCTTTGTTCTCTTTCCTCACCTTCCCCTCCCTCCCACCTTTTCCCCCTTCTGTCTTAACAATGAATTGATTATAATGGATCAAATTTTTTAGGCAATCAACAAGTTCTAACTAGCAAAATAAATATATATTTTGATTATACTAAAGTGTATGCATTATGTAACTTATTTTCTGAACTGATATAGTTTAAGAAACATTTTATCTTATTTTTAATATCTCAAAACTGTTAGTATTGAGATACATATTAGAATACTATAGACAACTAGCCAAGCAAGTTATTACAAGTGCATTATAGTTTTTAAATTGGCTAAGCTTACTATCTGTACTGTTTCTATAAGCAAAAACAAATTGTAAAGTATGTTGTTGTTGTTATTAGTTGCCATTGAATCAGCTCCAACTCATGGCAACCCCATGTACAACAGAACGAAACGTTGTCCAGTCCTGTGCTATCTTCATAATAACTAGTATGCTTGAGTTCATTGTTGCGGCCATTGTATGTTTCGAGTGACTTCCAATTTACAAGACTCATCTTGCAGCATTATATCGGGCAGTATTCTGTTGTGACCTATAGGGTTTTCATTGGATAAGTTTTGGGAGTAGATTGCCAGGCCTTTCTTCCTAGTGTGTCTTAGTCTGGAAGCTCTGTTAAAACCTGTCCATTATGGGTGATCTGCTAATATTTGAAATACCAGTGACATAGCTTCCAGCATCATAGCAACACCTAAGCCACTACAGTATGACAAGCTGACAGATTATAAAGTACAGCCTAGGTTTATTGTGTAGGGAGCAGTGTCCTCTGTCATCTTGATTCCTTTTTTTTCCCTTTTCTTTGTTAAATATGGTAGATATGATGGAAGAGCTAGACTTACTGTAATTTTAAAGAATAATTATACCCAGTGACACAAATATTTATCATTGTTGCGTATATTCTTATCAAACTACGAAGTTTTCATAAGGCAGATTTTATTTCGGTGTTTATTTTATATGTTGTTGTCAATGTACCTGATAACATGCAACCACAGGGGGAAGTGGATGAGTGTAACATCCTGGTAAGTCCCTTTCCAGGTGCTATTCTTGACTGCTCCTAGATAAGCTGAAACTGCTGTATCTCAACCTCCTATATTCACTGCTCTTTTCCTTTAGGATGTTACTTCCTACTTGTCCCACTCTAATCTCTTCACATTTTTACAGATCTGAGTTTTAGCAACATAAGATCCTTCTATTTCTCTGTTAGGGATATTCCCCCTGCCCCACCCAACATTTGTTTTCCATTCAAGATTCTCTTTTCTACAGTAGTAAATTGATTTGCTTCCAACTGAACCTTTAGGATATCTTTGACCTATTTTGTGAAAATTTAGGGCCAATCCAAGATAAGTCATATTAGCATTCTCTGATATAATGCGAGATCATGGTGTATTGTACGGGCTATTTCCACAAGACTTCTTGAATTCATTTCATCTGATTTCATGTTGGATTAATGTAAGAAACAAAAGTTAATGATAGTTGTGTCTGTCCCTGTTGTTTCAGTGGAAAGTTGTTTTAAGGATAAATGTACTTTAACAGAATTTTTCTGTACAGTGCAATTTCCTTTTTGAACAGTTTTTCATTCTCCTTATTGTCATTAAATATGTGAATGAAATCAGTACTTCAAATACTTTGAGACAGATGCTCTTTTCATTTCTGTATTCTTTTTAATTGTTCTATTAACTGTCTTCTGAGCTTCTTTTAAACTGGTATAAAAGTCTGCCTGCCGTTATTCACTTAAATGACATACTGAAATTTCCTTTGAATTCTCCTTTATTTGCAGTTGTTCTCTGTGATATAATAGCGTATGTATAAACTGATTTTTTTTTACCATCTACTGAAAGTTAAATGCCATTATTATTATTTTTTTCAATAATATTTTATTGTGTTTTTGGTGAAAGTTTACACAACAAAGTAGGTTCCCATTGAACAATTTCTAAGCAAATTGTTCAGTAACATTGGTTACATTTTTTAAAATGTGTCAGCATTATCATTATTTCTTTTCTGATTGTTCTGTTTCTAGTAATATAGTTTCTTTGCCCTATTACCTTCTCATCTTTGCATTAAAGTAATTGTTGACCGTTTGGTCTCACATAGATTATTTTTTAAAGGAACATAATAGTCACAGATGATATTCCTTATTTTATGAGCCAATCTGTTATTTAGTTAAAAGATGACTTCAGGGGATAATTTTGGTTCAAGGTTTAACGAGTATCTCAGGGCAGTAGTCTCAGGGAGTCCTTTAGTCTCAACGGGTCCAGCAGGTCTGGACTTTTTAAGAATTTGAGTTCTGTTCCACATTTTTCCCCCATCCTATCAGGATCCATCTATTGTGGCCCTGAAGAGCAATGGTAGTTGGGCACAATCTTGTTCTTCTGGTCTCGGGGTAGATGAGACCGTGATTCGTGTAGACTGTTAGTTCTGTAGACTAGTTTCTTCTCTGAGTCTTTGGTTTCCTTCTTTCTATTTTGCTCATGATGAATGAAATGCCATTATTTTTATAATTAGTATGTGTTGATATTGTAACATTTTAAAAGAAGTTGAAAAATGATATATAATCAGAATTCTAAGACATGAAATTTCCATGTATCTCATGGACACCATTGAAATTGAAATTTTTGCTTCCTGAGTTAGCAGAATTTTAATTTTGCCTTTGCTTTTGGTTGATTGTATACTTCATAAATGTGTCATTTTCTCTCTGGGGACCGAGCCAGAGAGATGAGTGAGGAGGCTGGCCTGAAGGGATTAGTTAAATGACCTGTCCAAAACAAGGGAAAAGAAACTATAAGGAACTGATATGTACCATATGTTTACACAAATGATGCATACCTTCTACATTTGTTTGCCAAACGTTCCCTCTCCCCTTCGAGGTATTTTTGTAAGCACCCTATGCTAATTTTTTTTACAGTAACGTAAAAAAAAAAAAATTGGCATAGTGGTGCTTATGAAAATACCTCGTGAAGGGAGGGAGCAATTGGCAAACAAACGTAGAAGACTCACATTAGTTGTGTAAAAATACAGTGCTTTGTATATATTTCCCATTTTTTCCAGGACAAATTGGCAAAGTAAGTATTCACATCCTTACTTTATAGAGAAGATAATTGAGGTTCAAAGATACTTACAAAATTTAGCATGAGCTTTGGAGTCAGACAGACTTGTTTGAATCTTAGCTCTGCTATTACTAGAAATTTAT